CCCCCCCGTCACAAGCCCACTGCCTTTCCTGCTGCCTTCCTGGAGCAGGTCCCAGTTCACCTGATGCTGCTGCTATGCTCAGCCCTGGGTGACCACCAGCACTCTTGGCCTTCTTGGCTGCCTGGGCACACACTGCTCATGTTCAGGTGGGGAGGGGGGCTCAGGGTGCTCACCCCATGGACCCGCTGTGCAAGGTGCTGGGGCTGCCTTTTCCCCTGCCCCCCGAGCCCATGCCGCCCCACACACAGGTACATGGCCGGGGTTCTTCTTGTGGTCCAGGACCATGTGCAGCATGTCATACGTAGATGAGGTCAAAGGCACCGGTGGAGCAGCTGGGGTTCTTCTTCTGGTCCAGGACCGCATGCAGCATGTCGCATTGGATGGCGGCGCAGAGCTGTTGGGTCACCTCCAAGTAGGGTGCCATGGATGGATTGGTGTTGATCTCCAGCAGCCAGGGCTGGCAATCCTCCCCGAACATAAAGTTGGCTCTGTAGAGCTCGAAGCTGCCCTTGCGGGACACCACCAGCTCCTGGGTGCTGCGCAGGGCAGCCACCACCGCCTCCTTCATGCCAGCACAGTCACCTTCTCCAAGGCCTCCACGTGGCCTGCTCGCTGCAGGTAGAGCTGGAACTGCTGGCTGGACCAGGCCAGGTTGCGGGGTAGTTTGGGGTGCTGGCCCCCAGCCAGCCTCCACCGCTTCTGGATGGTGACATTGCAGAGGTGCCAGGAGCTGGTGTGGGGAGAGCAGGGACAAGTCAGCAGGGTGCCGGGGTGCCAGGTGTGCAGCACCGGGGTGGGGACACTCACTGGTGCAGGTGGTGCAGGGAGAAGGGCCAGGAGCAGAAGCACATGTAGCTGTCGTGGTAGAACCAGATGGTGAGCAGGTTCCAGTCGGTCACCAGGAACCATTGCTGTGAGTCGAACTTGGTGCCCAAGGTGAGCAACAGCTGCTCCACATGCTTCTTCACAACCCATTCTCCCAGCCGTACCCAGGGCACTGCGCATTTCCCCACTACCTCCCGTACCTCCTCCAGCTGCGCCAAGCATGTGGTGCCTGCGAGGGGGGACACACGGTGCTGGTGAGCCAGGCAGCCTGTGCCCAAACCCCCTTTTCCTATTGGCTTCACCTCCACTGCGGGACATGGCACCGGGCTTGATGATCCATAGGTTGTGGTCACCCTCCATGCGGAAGTGGGGCAGCCGCCCCTGCAGCTGCTGCAGCAGGGCCCTGCACTGCTGCTGCTGCAGGATGCTGGGAGCCAGCCTGGCCTGGTCACTGCAGGGTGGTGACACAGGGGGCTCAGCACCAGCACTGCCATGCTG